ACCTGGCACTATTGCGCCTATAAGCATATCATGGAACATTTTGGTTTTTTTATAAAGAATATTGTACTGTGATTTGTTTGGCACACAGTCTGGACTCAGACGTGTGTGAACTATACATTTTAGTGACCTTCACCTTGCAATGCCATTTGAGTGTGAGTCGTGTTTTTGTCTCCCTGGACCACTTGGTTCATGGCGTTTGTATTTTCCTCTCTTGCGGATTCTCAGTCAACCCATTCCAAGGGGAAACCTCCTGCCTGTCGACGGTTCTAGCCTGCACCGAGACTCGGCCCACTTGCGCAGTGGTCTGGTGTTTCCGCATTCATGGGTGACATCCTGCTGCACATAAGATCTCATGCACATTATAATAAATACACGTGGTAATCGATACTGCCATTGTACACTTCCGGTGCCATTCGAACAAGAAGCCCGAAGGATGGTAAATTAAGATACAAAATGACATACTTGCGTACCAGGAGTCACAAGTAGGTTTGAGTCAAAATACACCAACAGACACCAATGGGCTCAAAGCAACTTTGTCAAAGGTGAGCCTAGTCTGAAGCGCATTACTCATAGAGAGATCCAAGTAAGCTGTCACCAGCGTGCTACAGACCCTATGGTCCGAGGTTTGAACCCCACCACCGCCACCCATCTTTGGTGGTACGTAGGTTTGCTGTCGTCCGGTTCAATATCACGCCTAAAACTATCGGAGCCTTATGTGGTTCACCAATCCAGGTCCTTGGGATAAAGTTGCCGGTTTCCACCACTGAACAGCAGATCTTTGTGACTATGGGGTTCGCCCCGTTTGCTGTTCATTACACAAATGTGCAATAAAAAAGAGGACAGAATAGCTTTTTTGGTATAAAACACCCTGAGCAACTGCAATGCCGAGGTGAATCCTACTGTCACAAAACTGACAACGGAACCATCAACCAACTGTCCACGTGATTCAGAAATTGTCGACAGTGTGCAAGTGATCACGCTTAATCGAATTGATTCCTACATCCAATTTAATTGGTACAACAATCACCAGATATTAAAAAGATTCGACATTGCACAAATGAAAATGCACACAGCACATCTGACTAGACTGCTAAACGACGAGACTGAGCAAAGGCAGTGAAAATTTGACTGAATGAGTGTGATCTGAAGACGTGTGAAATCGACACGCACCGATTCATCAGATTTGAGTTCCGTCACTGTCGACCCACATGTTAACGCTGCAGCATAGTCCAGTACGGCAACAAATATGCTGAGGAATTAGGCAGCAGATCACTCAGTCTTAAACTACAAGTTCCCATAACAAAAGAAACGAACGGTTCACCTTGTCTACATCACATGTGGATGTGTGATGAAAGCTTTTCAAACACAGAATATACATAAGTATTCGTTTGAGCACCAACACAGCCAAGCATCGAAAGGGGAGATAAGAATGAAATAATGCAAATCGGCGCCCGAGCGACACGCAAAAAATGGGAAATGCATTTGTTCAAAACATGACACAACGAGAATGAAGAGTGATGTTCCTATAGGTCAGTGGATTCTGCTTGCTTTAACATATAACTCTCATATGCTTGCGAGCAGTGGTGCTGGATGAACTGTAAACAATTAGGCTTCATCCGCAAGAACACTTTTCACTTTATCCAGTCAACCATACACCCAGGAAACATAAGACCTGAGTTTCAATCTTTTTAGAGCTCAGCAATAACTTATATTCAACGACCCGTCCGAGATTTGAACTTGGGTTCGTCACACGAAAGACCTTTGTGTTACCACTGTTTCAACCAGCTCAAAATACAGCTGACAAAGACTACCAATCCAAGTCTAATCAGATATCGTTTTCAATGATTGGCAATGAGTTCAAATAGTTATCTGTACCTAGGAGGCGTTTCAGCTGCGCTCAGTGGTGATCAGCTGAATTTAAATGCAATCAATCACCTCTCCTTCTCTCTCTCTCTGTGATTAAGTTTTGTCTGTTAATCCCTTCCGGTCCTGCTTCCACAGACGGAAATAAACGTGAGCAGACTGTTATATTCAGAACAGCCACACAGACTACATAACTCTAGGGGAAGTCGTACTTTTGATGAACTACAACTACGCACAGAGAAAACATGTTGGTTCGCAGTCGATTGAATGTGTCCGAGGGACCAAAGTGAAACTCGTTCATCAGCTAAAACCCGGGTATACCGGTGCACCAGTATCTTCGAGAGCCCCCAAAATAGTCGTATTCATATTTTTTTTTGTGGCAGACAGCTTTACTGTTGTCCGGTTAAATACCACCCTTAACCGCATGTGGTTTACACCCCAAATCCCGGGGCTCAGGCTACCGGTTTCTATCAAATAGACATTATGCGGGTTAACTACGTCTGTGATTTATCAAACACACGTCTAAAAGGGAAAAATCAAAATATCAGTTTTCAAGCGACTATAGCGCAGATCTGCAGTTTTTAATTACTTATTATACATGCAATTGTAAAACGGAGAGATCGACTTGGGTTCTTCTAAATGTGATTATTTTGGGGATCTGGGAGATACTGATTCACGAGCACAGTACACCAATTTGATCAAAACTGAAATATGATTCGCAGATCGAATCACTGAACGAATACACATTCAGGTATCTGAATCGTCAGTATTGCACCACCAAATCCCCAATGCTAAATGTTGCGCAATAATAGAAGCAATTGTTTGAATAAATGGTTGGATTATTACCGAATCGGTCTCGTGGGACGCGCATTGCACACGTTCACGGACAGGGTTTATCTGTGTGGGAGGTAGGGATACGGGGGAAAAATATCGACTGGAACAGTGGTGAACGATGATTACAGATGAAAGTTGATAGGAAAGCATAACGGCTTCCACTGGAAGCATCGGATAACATACACAGTGTAAACGGAACAGATTGTATTGATTCTGGCTTTTCCGTTTTTGTTAATCGTCATGTGGTAGACTGTCTTTCCTGTCCCTTTGTACCTACTGTTGGATTCACAGTCCACTACAAACAAACAAACAAAAAGAAACACACAACGAGTACAATGAGAGGCCACATTCATGAACGAGCAGACAGAAATTGACTCACGTCATCGTCGTTCAAATAGAGACAGGCAAAAGCTACTCGGTCGATCAGGCACAGATCCTCGTTGTACTGGAACAGAAATGGGCACAGACGGTGCGAGCTAAGAAATGTTAAACAAACACTGACTTGAACACGTATTTCACATGTTATTGACTAACGAGACAAAAACCAACTCATAATCGGATTCCGGGGGAACCGCATTGTTCGGAAAGTCACACGCAATGGGTGTATGTATAACCCAGCAACAAGAAAACCTTCCTAGAAGTTACGAAACATCAGTCTTTTACTGCTGTGTCACGCGATACATAACCAATGAGATGTCAGAGTCCGTAGTAAGGATTTCAGTATACTCACTTTTAGTTTTAAGCGGCTAACTCCTGCAGGAGGATAATTAGGCTTTTTGGAGGTGTTGAATGATGGTGGCTCAAGCGTAACGATCGGCGGCAAGACGGATGCAGTGTAAGACCTAGTTCTGATTCCAGTTACTAATTCCATAAACGGATCGGAGGTCCAATAATTCCATATCCGTCTTAATCACACTGATCCAGGTCATCTTTTGGCCAGCGAATCGGCAGAGCCACCCACAACACGGTGCAGAGGCTACAGCCTGTCGCGATAGTTGAGTACCCCCAAAATTCTCAGTATAGTCGGGGATGGGTGTCTAGGGTTGCGGCTGGTCACCTTACCCTTGCACCTCGCGAAATGCTCCCATACGACCAAGCGTCTCGAATAGCCTATACTGAGGAAGCCCTACTCATTACCTTCTCGTGACAGAGGTGTTTTCCCACCAAAGTGAGAGGACGAAAAGCCGACATCCGAGGATATAGGACCGGTGCACCCTTAGCAGGTCACCTA